TTTTTTTTTTTTTTCCTGCCAGTACCATGCTGATTTTATCACAGTAGCTTTTTAGTATAATTTCAAGTCAGGGATCGTGATGCCTCCTGCCTTGCCTTTGTTCCCTAGGATTACCTTTGCTATTTTATGTCTCTTGTTTCCAAGTGAATTTTAGGAATGTTTTCTCTATATCTGTGAGGTATGCTAATGGTATTTTGATCAGGATTGCATTAAATCTGTATAGCAGTTTTGGGAGAACATTTTCACAATGTTGGTTCTTCCTATCCATGAGCAAGGGATATCTTTCCATTTTCTGGTATCTTCTTCGATCTCCTTTTTCAGAGTACTGTAATTTTCAATATATAGATCTTTTACATACTTTATTAGATTGATTCCTAAATGTTTCATTTTTTGGATGCTGTTGTAAAGGGTGTTATTTCCCTAATTTCTCTCCCAGTGAGTTTGTTATTTGTGTACAGGAATGCTATTGACTTTTGAGTGTGGATTTTATATCCAGCTAGGCTATTGAATTTGCTTATTAAGTCTAGAAGTCTTTTGGTGGAGTTTTGGGGGTCTTCCACGTAGAGTATCATGTCATTTACAAAAATGATAATTTAACTTCCTCCTTTCCTATCTTTATTCCTGTTATTCTCTCTCTTGTCTAACTGCTCTGGCTAATGTTTCCAGAACTATATTGAATAGGAGTGGTGACAGTGGACATCCTTGTCTTGAGCCACTTTAAATAAAACATGTTGGCAGCTTTCTTTAGAGTTCTATCTTTGATTTTCTGGAGCATGGGGGAAAGGCTTCTGTCTACCAAATTTGAATGAATTCTTTGCAAAAATTTTCCAGTCTTTCAAGAATTAACAGTAGTGCCTTACATTTGAAAAGTGCTCTGTGATTTTTAGAGCACACCCAAGCATATTATCTTATTTTACCTTCACATTGACCTTGCCAGTTAGATAGGACAGATACTACTTCCCCTGTATGACATAAGAAGAAATATGAAGCCTAAGAAGTGAAGAGGTGTGGCTGATACCACACAGCTGTGACTAGAACCCAGCCCTGAGGTGCTTTGCCTTTGTGCCCTTTTTGTTTTCATCCTTGTTGTAGGGATGAAATCTAAGGCCTTGCATGTGCCAGGAAGTGCCGTACTCTGAGCTGCATCCCCAACCCCCTTTTTGTGCTTATGAGCTCAGAATTAGGGTGAATCACATTTGCATTTGGATCGTAATAATACTGCATACTTCTTTCTTACAGGTCCAGTTATCTTTTGATTACCACAAATGGACTCCCAAAGCTGTCCAGAGGAAACTGTCCTCATTACAGGAGGAGGTGGCTACTTTGGCTTCCGGTCAGTGCATCTGTAGGATATGCCCACAGAGTTATTTTACTGGTACCTGTAATTGTTGGAAAAAAATTTCCGGGTAGTGTTAAGCCAGAAATGACGCCTGCCCAGACAGTGAAACTTGAGAGTCACAGGTGTCATCCACATCAGGAAAACTTCTTTGTAGATCCAACAAATGGAGGAGCGGTGGTTAGCCACATCACTGAAAAGAATTTAAAATGACAGCTATTCCTTCAGAGTTAAGTCACTGTCATTTAAATAGATAAGACTTGTTTTTAAAAATTTGAATGAGTAAGATTTGGGAACTTACAAAGTGAGGATGCAGGAGAACTTGGAGCAGCCTCATCTTGATTGGTAAATTATTTTGTGTATTGTCCTAGGCACAGCGTATGGGTGCCTTTCTCTAACTTTGAATGGTCCTCATTTCAGCCTCGGCTGTGCTCTGAGCCAGAAAGGAGTCCGTGTGATTCTGTTTGACATCAGCAGCCCTGCTCAGACCATCCCGCAAGGCATCAAGTTTGTACATGGAGACATCCGCCACCTTGCTGATGTGGAAAAAGCCTTCCAGGATGCGGACATTGCGTGTGTGTTCCACATTGCCTCCTACGGCATGTCAGGGCGGGAGCAACTAAACCGAAACCTGATTGAGGAAGTCAATGTGGGTGGAACCGACAATGTCCTGCAGGCCTGCTGGAGGAGAGGGGTTCCCAGACTGGTGTACACGAGCACATTCAATGTCATCTTCGGAGGCCAAGTCATCAGAAATGGAGATGAGTCCCTGCCTTACCTGCCGCTCCACCTGCACCCTGATCACTACTCCCGGACCAAATCTATTGCAGAGAAGAAGGTGCTGGAGGCAAACGGTTCTTCCCTAGGGACGGGAGCTGATGTCTTAAGAACCTGCGCTCTGAGGCCAGCTGGCATCTATGGGCCTGGAGAACAAAGGCATCTTCCCAGGATAGTGAGCTACATCGAGCGGGGCCTGTTCAGGTTTGTGTATGGCGACCCCAGCAGCCTGGTCGAGTTTGTCCACGTGGATAACTTGGTACAGGCACACATTCTGGCCTCAGAGGCCCTAAAGGCTGACAAGGGCCACATTGCCTCCGGGCAGCCCTACTTCATCTCAGATGGCAGACCAGTGAACAACTTCGAGTTCTTCCGGCCTTTGGTTGAGGGCCTGGGCTACACATTCCCATCCACCCGCCTGCCACTCACTCTGGTCTACTGCTTCGCTTTCCTCACAGAGATGTCCCACTTCATCCTGGGCCGGCTCTACAACTTCCAGCCCTTCCTCACCCGCACCGAGGTTTATAAAACTGGCGTCACACATTACTTCAGCCTGGAGAAAGCTAAAAAAGATCTTGGTTATGAGGCTCAGCCATTTGACCTGCAGGAAGTAGTAGACTGGTTTAAAGCCCATGGTCACGGCCGAAGTCCTGGAAACGGACACTCAGAGTTTCTTCTTTGGGAGGGGCTGTTGGTCTTCCTCTTCGTTCTGTCAGTTTTCACCTGGCTCCCACCTACTGTGCTTCTGTCAGTGTGAAGGAAGAGTTAGAAATAAGTTTCTGATCTTACTCGCTGGAATGATTTTCAAGCGCATAGGTTTTAAAATACATATATATCTGGTGCTACCCTTTGGCTTTCCAAATTACTCCCTAAGAATAGGTTCTTCGATTAAATTTTTCTTCTCTTGTTTTTTCCCAGCTGATCCTGTTGGGAAAAAGGGAGACACACAGATAAGTTTGGAAGTTGGTTTCTCACGTCCTGAGAAACCAGGTGCCACAGAAGCCATCTGGAGCGATAGGGAAAGGCCCAGTTACGTAGGAAATTGCTCAAACATCTCAGAATCCAAAAATGCACGGACTTCTATTTCACACACCCTACATGTACATAAACGGACAAACTAAGACTGATGATGGGAGCAGTGAAAGCCTAACAGGCTTGAAAATGTGAAAAGCACCAAATCAGGCCAGATTCCTAACAGACCAACCCTCAGAATGGAGGCTGCTGCAGGGAAGCATGGTCGTGCACAGCATAAGTTCTCAGAATGAACTTGCTCCTCGTGGTAAAGGAATCCACGTGACCACATGTGATACTGATAATTAAACAACTAGACCTTTCTCCTGCTTCATAGGATCATTGTGAAGATTACATCAGGCAAAGCACACAAAGTGTTAATTAGCACACCTAAGCCATTGTTTTTATTAGTATTGTTATACATTCCTTATGAGGGCTTCTTCCTCAGAGTATTCTCCTTAGAGGAGCTGTTGCTACTAAACTTTCTGGAATGTGCGGTTGTGCCCTCAGGGTCTGCCGTAATATGTGCTCCATGTCCATCACGTCTGGCCTCTGAAGACAGACTGAAGTTTAAAAACATCTGAAAATCCAAAGGACGGTGATCAAATGAATGATGCCGTGTTAGTGGAAAAGCATAGCATAGCTCGAACACAGTGGTTCTCTTGCCGGGGAGAATTTTGGATTTCTTTTTGTAGAGAAGGCAGCCTCCAGAGAGGAACAAGAGCAGCGTGTCCAGTCACCGTGAGGACTGACATGGAAGCTTTTAAGTTACATTGTTTCCTAGGAATCAGAATGGAAGGACCTCACGGTTTTTGCCCAGGCCAGGAAGGGCAGCATTGAAACACGATGGGATGGATTGCTGTGAAGAGCTGTGCTAGAGGTATTCTGGGAGTATTCAAAAATACAAATAGATGAGCAGTCCCTGTTGAATGCTGCCCAGATGTTCTGGAAAGAACTCTGAACTTTCCCTCGAAGACCTACACTGTGATTATTTTGTGCAGCCTTAACCAAGTACCTGGGGCCTCTTTAAGATTTTTTTTTTTCCTTCTCTGGCAGATGGGATTGACTGGATTTCCCCTTTCCATGAACTCGCTAAGCTCACAGGGTTTCTTGCGAGCATAAAACAAGATGTGTTGAAAGTGCTCTTACTATATAAATTGCAATGTTAATAAGTATGAGGTGGCAGTGGTTATTGTTTTCAAGAAAATATTTTGCGGTCTTTTAGATCATAAAAAAGCTTGGCTGTAGTTTGGGGTGACTTCTGTGAGCACCCACAGTACACCTCAGTGCTTGGAGTGCTCTGGGGCAAGTTTCTCAGCCCGCTGCAACTTCAGGCTAAGAGTGACATTATGCGTCCACGTGAGATCATTGATACAAAGGGGATGTTCAGTGGGTCACACAGACTCAAAATGTGGTCAGTGGCGGGGTGGGGATTTAGCTCAGTGGCACAGCGCCTGCCTGGCAAGCGCAAGGTTGTGAGTTCAATTCTCGGTACCGGAAAAAAAACAAAAACAAAAAAGAAAGTGTTCAGTGGCAACCTAAATGGTAGGTACTTCTTTGTATTTTTTCAGACCATAAATGCAAGGTGTTGTTGGCTTTGGGACTTTTTGCCCCATTAATTATCTAAATGAAATTTATGATCATGGTGTGGGCTTTATTATCAGCCTATCTGCACGCATCCACTGCCTCCTTGAAACACAGTTTGTTTACTTTCCATGAATTCACTCTTCTGATCTCTCTCCTCTTACCAGCTATCTACTGTTACAGAACAAATCACCCCAAAGCGTACCATTGCCCCAAGCAACAAGTATTACCCCAGGTTCCTAGAGCACCAGAATGTGAGTGCAGCTTTACTTGGTCTCCCGTGAGGCTCATCCCATGAGGTCAGCCAGTTCTGCAGTCATCTGGAGACTTGGCTGAAGCTGGAGGATCCACTTCCAGGACGGTTCGTCCATGAGACTTGGCAGGAGCCCTCACTTCCCCGTCACACAAGCATTTCTGCAGGGCAGCATGGATGTCCTCATAATGTGGCCTCTGGTTTCTCCCAGCACATGATCCAGGAGGGAAGGTGGAAGCTGCACTGTCTTCCATGACATGGCCTCAGCAGTCACACACTGCCACGTGAGCAGAGTAGAAAGTGATTTGTGTTCCCTCTGCACCTCTGCTGAAAGTGGACCATTGGAAAAGCGTCTGGCCTGAAGGGGAGCTCCTGCTGTATCAGTCAGGGTTCACTAGAGTAATGTATTTCATCTCAAACGTACATATATATATAAATGACTTACAAGATAGGGTTACTGTAGCCACCCGCAGAGTCAGAGGGAAAAGAAAGCAAAAAGGCTGTCTGTGCTGGAGAGCCAAAAGATCCAGTCAACAGTCAGAGGCCTGGAGTTCACTGCAGAGTCCCCTGTAAGTCCATATCGAGAAGCTGAAGGGTCTGTGCTGGAAGCCTGGAGTTAAGAGGTCCAAAGGCAATGTTAAAGACTGGAGCTCCTTCAAAAAACTAAAAGTGAGATTTCTTTCCCTTTTTATTCCATACAGGCTACAAGCCTATGGGTTGGTGCTACCTGGTAGGTCTGACCACCATCTACCTCTCCCCAGCTGCCCGAGTTCCTGGAATGGCTGATTCCCAACTGCCTGAGCCCAGGAACAAGGCCTGCTCTGCTAGGACATGACACACCTGCCCCACCTGCTAGGTCACAGGCCCATTGCTATAGCCATGTACTCAGCCAGTCTCGCTCTCCCAATCTCACATGCCCACTTCACCTCACCTCACCTAAACCCATCCCACTAACCTCCTACCCTATCCATAAAGACCCAACTCAAAAAACTGGACTTCAAGTCTCTTTTGGAGTTACTCCAGGAGGTCCCATCTGGAACCCCCAAATTCAGGCTGGCTGTGTTCTTTTATAAGGTTGTCATTGTTTACTTAACACTACGACATCCAGGGTGGGTCTTCCATCTTTAGTAAGTTAATCATCCAGACACACCCAGAGCTGTGATTAACTAATCCGGTAGGTGTTTCTTATTCAAGTTGATGCCACAATTAACTAGAACACTTTCCAAGGTCAGGAGATGCTGCAGTTAAGGAATTCCATTAGTTCTAGCATTCCCTGCTGTGTTCACCTTCCCTCAGCCTCGGACTGAATCGCCCATAGGTGCACACAGCAGTGTGATGCTCACATTAGTACACATAGGAGCGCCCCCTGGAGCCTGGACATCAGCCACCCAGGTCGGCTGGGTTACCTCGGCACTGCCTCTGAGGAGCTCTGGGAAGGCACTTGCTAGAGGAGCACAAAGGGGGAGCAAGAAGCAGAAACCACATGAGCGGAAGAGCCTTGCTGCAGAACCTGAAGGTCATGTCCCAACTGTCCCTTCTGCAAGAAGGAGGACAGGCCTGGCAGGCATAGGGAAAGCCTGGTGGGATTCTCTCAGTACTGCTTTGGTCTTAGAGGAAGACAGCATCACGTTACAAACAGTACATGTTACTGGAAAGCCAAACATCTGATTCTGGTGCTAAGTTACCTAACGGATGCCAGCGCAAGCCTGTGGTCTGGGCTGGAATTGTTTTCAGAAGTATTATTGTCCCAAGTCACCTATTGGTGTTACAAGGCAGCCAGCACTGCTTTGTCATAGATTTAATTGGATTACTAACAACTGTTGGGGCACCTCCTACTTTATTTTCCTTTCCAAGTCCCCAGTCTGCCTGGCCTTACAGAAAGAGAGGAAGAAGTACCCTGCAGATTACTTCCCAGCCACAGCCCCAGTGTGCATTCCTGGGCTGCAGGGCTAACAGTGTCCCCTCTGGCTGGCCAGCAGTTTATGTCTTATTAAACTCCTCACTGTTTGCTGGCATCTCTTGCTTTCAAAAATGACCCCACACTCCTTTTGGTAGACAGAAGCTTGTTCCCAGCCCTTCTGTGGGAAAGGAATTGGGCTGACTGCTACTTGAGGCCTGGCAAATCAGAAGGAATCCATCCTGACTGCAGTCCTTGGGCCTTGATGGGCCATTCAGCATCCTCTAGTCAAACCTTTCTCCCAGAGACATCGAGAGATGCTCTCCCTGCTGGGATTGCTTCACTGGGAGGACAGTCGTGTACTGTTGCCATGGTCCTCCTGCCCTGAAGGAGGGGACTGAGTTGTGATGTTGGCTTTTGAGGGCTTGGATTGTCTGTGTTAAATCACAGCCAAGAAGTGAAACAGAGATGGTCCTTGCTGGCATCACCATGGCTCCATGAGCCAGCTGCCTGTGCTACTTGGCCCACCGCCATCCTGCCCTGAGAGTCTCAGTGGATTTTCCTTGTTGCTTGAGGTGCTTTGAGTTAGGTTTTTCTCCAGCAACTGGGAAAGGTGGTCTCCACCATCCATAAACATCTATATGCAGGTGAGCACACCCGTGCTTTGCAAAGACAGTCACTCCCTGGTCACCTCTGTGCCCTCCCACTTATGGAGGGGCCCTCCTTTGACCGCTGGTGACATTTGCTTGCATTTTTCTCCCAGAATCTTGTGAATTGCCTATTTTAGAATCATGTTTACATGAACTGTGTTTATTCAAATCATGTATATTTGGACTGTGTTTTTAAGCAGTCTAGTTCAAATTCTCTCATTCTATAATAAAATTAAGAAAGTGACTTTTTCCCCAGGAAATGGACAACCCAGCAGGGCAGGAACGACATCTAATTTTATATGCAGAGAGCACAGAAGAACTTTATTGCTCAGTAAATGGCTGTTGACTGGGTGGACACATTTATTCACCAGGTAGACTCTTATCTGAGATTACAGCTGATTTTTAATTATCCTTCCCTTTTAGCCTATGACTCTCAGCTCTAACTAATAAAAATATTCAAGGCCCAAGTTAAAAATAGGGACTCCGAAGAAGTGACTTCATGCAAATGGCAAAGCAGGAAGCTTTAGAATTGGTCCCTTTGCTGTCATAATCAGAAAACTGGAAGGGGGGAATCAAAACACACATGTTTGTTTGTCATGTACATTTTACCACAAAGGAATGGAGGATATATACATAGATACAGACTCCAAACTCTTCACATGGCAGTTCTGGTTCAGAGTTCTGTGCTGGCTGGGAACCCACAGTCCAAGTGTTTTGCAGCGATGATGCTGCTAGATCCCAAACACAGCTCCTGCAAGTTGCTAAGAGGCCTCTGAATTCTGCATGGCTCTTCCCTAACCTGCTGTGCTACAACAGGTGCTCAGTACCTTTTCAGTGAGTGTCTAAAAGGGACAAGAGACACAAAGGAACGTAGATTCGGTGCCCTCCCATTACTCCCTTTATGCAGGGCCTGATTGTGTGCCACATCCCTGCACTGATTTTTCCAGACCTCTGAGGAGCCCCGTCTTTTGGCCAAAGGGTTATTTTTTTTCCAACCCATCTGGTTAGGCCTTATTTCCACACAAGCAGCCCTTTATTTGGTATGGAAAATCTAATCAGATAGTCACCATTGGGCATCTGCAGGCCCAGCCTCTAAGTATCTGTTGCAGAACCTGTGTACACCAGGAAAAATACATTTGTTGTGGAATGTAAGGAGTTACCACTGAGGCCAAATCTGGCTCACTGCAAAGAAATTACATGGAGCAAAGTGATCTGGGGAAGCGTCCTTCTGCCAATAAAGGATTTATCTTCAGTAAGTGATAATGTTTATTTTTAACAGAGCTGGTTGAAGTGGGCAAACTAGTTAAATATTCTTCATTACTGATACATAGGATTTTACCCCTAGCAAATATTCAAGATATCGTTTTCTCTAGTTTTCCAGTGGAGCCTATTTTAGATCTAAAAGTAAAGTGCTTTCTTACCAATATACACATTTTAAACATTGTTATGAAAATGGTTTTTATAGTGCTCCTAAGGGTCCCTAAGTGTCAGCGTCTTGAATAGCTAACACAGGTCATTTAGAAATACTGTGCTGCTTTTAAGAATTATTCATCATGTTGCTAGAGGAAGCCCAACTGAGTTACAGGCCCAGAGGATTTTGCTCAACATATTCAACATGAAGATAACGATGAACATTAACCCATCACCCCGGTTCACTAAATTACTCAGCTGAACATTCTTAACAGTTGCTTGCTACTATTTGTTGAGAGCTTACTCAAGCTCTTTATAGATTCCTCTATAGATCTCTATATTTCTTAGATTCACTTCACTTTTTCAGTACTCTAAGAGGTAGGTATATCATTACTTCCAGTTTAGATGGGAGG